TAATTAATATAATAAATATAACAAATAAATGAAATATAAATATAATAAATTAAACATGATAATAAAGCATACCGTATACCCCATTACCGAGTAACTTTTTATATTCGCGAATAATGAATTGCATTTCGGCGAGATTCAGGTTGCCCAGTGTTACCGTTTTATAGCTGTAATTAACTTTATAATAATAATAATAAAATAGTAATTAATAACAATAATAATAAGTAATATTAATAACAGTAATAGAGATAAGTAATAATAACTAGTGATAATATCATAATGATAATAAAAATAATAGTAACAGTAATAACAATGAATAATAAGTAATAATATTAATAAATAACAACCACGATAGTATTAATAATAATAATAATAAATAATAACAATAATAATAATGATAATAATAAAGAATATAATATATAAAAATAATGATAAAATAATAATAAAACGAACTTCATGTCCTGCAGTGCCTGTGCCAATGTTTCTGCATCGCAGTGCGGTGTTATTAAATCGGGTAGATATTCGTAATTGCAATTGCTTATTATCAAGGCCACTTTATCGGACGCGAACAGTTGCTGACTGTTGTCTTAATTATTTTATTTATTGTTGTTATTGATATTATTATTATTATTGCTGACATTAATATTATTTTTTGATATTAATATTAATAATAATACTTTTAACATTATTACTATTATTATTATTACTGTTGATATTATTATTAACATAAGTATTATAGTTATAACAGGTATATATAATTGAAATGAATAAATACAAGAATCGATATGCGTTTCCATATCGGGCTGTGTCTTATCTCCATCCTGATCATCCATAATTCTTTGTAATCGAGCCAATTGTTCCTGCTTGCAACGGTCACAAACTGAAAATAATAATAATAATTATTATTAAATAATAATAACAAATAATATAGTAATAAATAATATAATAATAAATAATATAATAACAAATAATATAATAGTGAGTAATAATAAATAAAGGAACTCACCCTCGTCATCAACACTCACGAACGCACTCAAATCCACCAGACCCGATACCAGCTCCGATCTGAACTGCTTTCCAGGTGCGCGATAGAACACCGACAGGTCACTGCGGTTCTCCACTTCGTTCCAAACACGGCAACTGTACACATTCTTGGCACTGCACACGCATCTGGACATTTGCTTTTTATTATTGTTATTGTGATTATTATTGTTATTAAATGTCGCGATGGAGCGTGAAAGAGACGATTCGTGAGGGATAACACCGAAGTGATATGTGAAATCAACCTTTAAATCAGTACTTAGCTGCTGTATATGTATAAGATGTACACGGATATCATGCACTATGGATTCGGATGATGAAACTTAACTTTCGTATATCTCATTTGGAGGATCTCGTCCATTTTTGTGTTTGTATTATATGAATGCTTTGTGTTTCAATAGTATAAAACAGTGATATTATAAAATAAACGCCGAAATTATTACTATTTTTATTATTATTACTATTATTGTCACTATTATTCATCAAAATCGTGCGCATTTCATACTCCTGATTTGATGCGGAATGACCAGTTACCTAGGAATAAGGCTAAGGGCCAGGTTTTCGCTCTAAGCAGTTAAGACGGAAACGAGCAATTGCGATAATCTCACAATCGGCTCTCAGGGTGGACGATAGATTTGTAGGTGACTGACCGCGGAATGATAAGCGTATCAGTGGTTTCGTTATCGATCTCGCGACCGTCGTCGAGCCACTGAAAATGCGGATGTGGAAATGATTTTGCGTGACAGACCAATTTCAATAGGTCACTTTTTTGGCCGAATGGTGTTACGATTACTTGTTGAGCACGTGACCAGATGAGTGGTACTGAAATTTGCTTGTTCGAAACGTGCTTGTTTCGGATAATTAGATAACGAGCCGCACCATAGCCTGCTGGCTCAGGCTCACAACATCAATGATATTGGTAGACCAGCACTCGGTTTCGAGCAAAACTTTCTTCCTCCAAATCGAACGGGAATCGAACCCGCCAAGTTCCAATTACCGGTTGGGGCTCTACCTTTGAGCTATCGCCGAGACCGTTCAGTCTCTGCCGAGTGGTTGTTTTTAAGATCGCAATCAG